CCTACCTACCTACCTACCTACCTACCTACCTACCTACCTATACCTACCTACCAACCAACCAACCAACCAACCAACCAACCAATCATCTATTTATCTATCTATCATATGTATCTATCAACACACACAGAGAGATATATGCATTGCCTACAGCACCATACCATGTTTCCCCCAAAATAAGACAGGATCTTATTTTTTTTTTACCCCCAAATAAGTGCTTGGTTTTATTTTCGGGGAACTCTTATTATTTTTGAGGTGCAGGAGGTGGTGAGTGTGATCACCTCCTGGCTGCTGCTGTGTTGCCATGTTTTTTGGAGAGGGCTTGTTTTAACACATGTGCTCAAAAGCCCTATTGGGCTTATTATCCGGGGAGGTCTTATTTTCGGGGAAACGGGGTAGAATATATATTGCATACACCACCATAGAAAACATTAATTTATTACTAGATTTATATCGTCCCCCAATTACCAGACGCTGAATAGTTCAAAACTGGGCTACAGGCTTAGTCAACATAACATATGTAGAATGGGTTTACTTTTTAAACCGCTGATCTAATTTGTCATCACTATTTCAAATCTTGAACATTGTCTTGGTTGTATCGACCAGATCATCATCATCATCACTACCACCACCTGAATTAAAGTTCTACTGAAAACAAAAATACACCGGTAGGGCATTGAGCCAACTTACCCAATTTTTGCCCTCTCTTTAGTTTTGGAAGAGCCAGTTTTGGGCTTCCGGCTTTCTTTGTCCTTTGGTTTGGATTTAGCTTTTCGACCCTTTTTGTCTTCCCTCCCCTCTGCCGAAACACTTGGGAAATTTTCTGGACTCATGACTCTCGGGATGTTTCTCTCCCCTCTCTCTTTCGCTTTGGCTATCGCCTCGGATATGATGCGATTGGCTTTCTCCTGCTTGCTTTCGGATTCCACTTTTTTCTTCTGCTTCTTCTCCAGCATTGATTTCACCTGGGTATTCTGCAGCTTAACGTAGACCCCGGGACCATCTGCTTTCTTGGCAGAGGGTGGCTGCAAGGCAATAAATAAATAAATAAATAAATAGGTTACTCATCTTAAGATAAAAGCTATGCGGATGGAATCAAAATCTCAGGTCAAGCTATATACGTCGAAATGATGGTCAGCAGGAATTGCCCCCAAATACAGGTAGACCACAATTGAGCCTAACGTTTCTGTTAAAGAGAGTTGTGCCCCGTTTTTGTGACCTTTCTTGCCACAGTTTTTAAATGAATCACTGCAGATGTTAAGTTAGTAACCCCGTTGTTAAGTGAATCTGGCACCCTCCCCCATGGACTCTGCCTGTCAAAAGGTTGCAAAAGGGGATCGCGTGACCTTGGGACACAGCAACGGTTGCGAGTATGAGTCAGTTGCTAAGCGCCTGGATTTTGATCCCAGGCTGCTACCAAGGTCATAAGTGTGAAAAACGGTCGTGAGTCGCTTTTATTTTCAGTGGCACTGTAACTCTGAACGGTCACTAAATGAACTACTGTAAGCCAAGGACTACCTGCACGTGATCCCAAGCCCTGAATTAAAAATCCTAGGCAGGTTTACGCAGAATAAATGTGTTCTAAAGGACTTGCTTGCTTCCAAGTTTACAAGCGCAGTTCAAGAAAGCCGTTTTCAGTGGATGGAGGAGAGGAAAAGCAGGGATTGTTTGACGCCTCCAAAGCTTTCCATACCTGAATCAGCCAAGAAGGGAAGGGGGGTTAGGAATATCTCCACTCTTTTCTGGCGGTTCTTTTTAAAACTTCCTCCCTTGTTCACTGCATTAAGGGGAGAAACCTCTCTAGCAGAAAAGGCCTTTTAAAGGAACGTAAGATTTTCAGCAATGAAAGGATGTTTTTGTTCCCAACTTATTTTCCTCCACATAGGATCAGGAGGCCTGAACTGTTTCTAGATGTTAGGCTTCTAGAACTACATCCGATACTTATATGCAGATTAAATAAAAAGGGTTTGAATCGTATCACAGGTTTGCTAACAAATCATTTAATTATCATTTTAAAAAAAATCATAAAAACGGGATTGGTAGAAATCATATTCTTTGATGAGAGAGAGAAAAATCCAATACTCTGATTTCTCTGCAGCATTTTTTTTTGGGTGGGGGGAAGGATACCTAACTTCAGCTGCAAGAAAATGACTTCATGTGAGGCCCATTTATTTTGTGCAGTAAAAACAAAAACAAGCATCGACACGTTAAAGGCAGGTAACGTTTTAAACATTGCAAAACGGTGGTCATACTTTAAATATAAAAGGTAGCCGAGTTGCAAATCGTTAAATCAAAACAACGAAGCCCAAACGTATTTTGGGTTTGACAATTTTTGACTTTGGGATCTGAAAATTCTCTTGCATAAAATGTGCAGGGCTCGAAACCTTCAGAGTCTGGGGGGGATTAGCTGAGCGGGCACAGAGATTTAGAGCGCAACAGAAGACCAGCAGCTTTCTAGACAAGGGTCTAGTTTCTAGTCTTCAATCACAATTGTGGGTGGGCCAGTGTAGCATTCCTGCTGCAACTGCATTTATCCATATTCTCCATTTTAATTTTTGCTTCCTTCTTTTCTGCTCTATTTCACCCGAGTCACAAATTTACCTCTTGCAGGGCCACTTATGTTCCCATCGCTGTGCATACAGAAATACAAAGGTTGTTTTAAATGTATTTTTGTACCACTGCTTCTCAGTTATTCTCATTCTCACCTTCTCCCTTGAATTTTTAAACGGAATAACAATATTTCTTAACAGCACTTTTTCCTCTCTGAACAAGCAGAATAGCGTAGTATAAAGAACTCCAGGGAAAGGAGCGCTAGTACATCATCCACTGCTCTAAGCACTGAGTGAAGTTAAAGATGTCAAGTGATGTACCGATGAAGCATCAAGGAAAAAAAAATCACATACTTACATAACACACAAGTTAACGTCATAACATAATCTGTACGTAAAGCATTGTTTTTACATTCAGACACAAGGCATTTGGGTCAAATAGACTTTCACTGCAACGCTTTCCCCTTTTACACTTAGATGATCCCAATCAATAAGTTATGAAAATACCCTTTGTTTAAAATTTCATGTATAGCTGATTCACAGGAAGCAGTTCAACAGTCTCTTTTGTTTGACCCGTTGTTTCTAAATGTACCCAGATTGAAATGCCTGATTGCAGCATAAACAATTACAGCAGCCTTTCTGAGACTGCATGGAAGACAGTTTTTAAAAAAAGCACAATGCAAGGAATGGAAAGAATTTCCTATCCAAACAGGGGGGGCAAGGGGGAGGAGAGAAAGGGGGGTGGGGGAAAGAGGGAGAGAAAGAGAGAGAGAGAGAAAGAGATAATAATTATGTTATGTTCTCACCCATAAATGTGCCTCTCACTACAGCAAAGGGGAAAGTCAGGAATTTCCAAGTGCATTTTCAGGACAATTCCAGTTCGCTTCACTGGATACATATTTTTTTTTTCCCCTATAAGAGCCTCATCCAAACCCTTAACCCACAGCGCTGCGGCACCAGGGAGAAAGCGGGGCTTATGATAGCTCAGTAAAATGCCATCTCAAGGCCAGCAAGCTACAACAAAAATCACCCAGATTCGAGAAAACAGCAACAAGCTCAAGATGGCGATACAGGCACGACTCCCGTAGCAGCAGCAGCCAGTAATAAGGAAGGTTATTCAATCCCATTAGCCTTTTAGCCCAAAGAACCCCTCCTCCTCCCACTCATTCAAGCTTTCACTTACCCTTCCTCTTGGCCTCTTCACTGAAGACATTTTTGGCATGAGACAAAGGTTGCCCTCGGGTTTTCCACCACCCGAGGAGGTAGGTTGCGTTCAAGGGAACGGCATTGAAAGGAGATTGCTGAATGGCCTATTTAAGCCAGCCAAGAGCCAAGGCAGAGACAGCCTTCCGCAAACACACATTGTGATTTATCAACATATTTTTTTTTTCCCTCCCTGGACTGGCATTTAAGTCTCCTTCCTCTCTGCTAGACAAGTACACCTTCGGCCATCCCGGGGCGACAGGCTCTAAAAATAGCTTTTGAGCAGAGAGCTAGCTTCCCACAAAACACCAAAAGAAACGAATGCACAAAGCATCAAAATGCATCGGCGGCGTGAATATTAGAGATGTCGTTAAAAAATACTGACTCCTTCTGCGGAAGTAGGCCAGCAGATGGTGCTACCAGTTATTATTCCATTAGACTCGGCAATTTAACCCTCCGTGGACTGTTCTTCCCTACATGTGGCAGTAGAGTTAACTCTTCATCCTTCCACCTTCTGCAAGAGCTGAAATAATATCTACTTTTCTGGGTGACGTATATAAGGAGTGTTTAAAACCTGAGGAATGAATGTTTCGGTGGAATCCTGTCATTGTTTTGCCAGATGAGTTATTTTTGTAACTATTATTGCACAATATTCTAGTATCAGATTTTAACTTGATGCTTTCAGAAAGAGTTTATTACAGAATTATTTTGAACTGGTGTTTAAACTCAGTTTCTTACACCTTGTCTAATCCAGAATTAATCTTCTGCCTTCTTTTTATTCTATGATATTTGGGGGCAATAGGCAGTCAAGGATATTTCCTAAAATATCAGTCCTCACATTTTTGTCAAGGAAGAAAATAAAATATTTATGATAGTGGCAAAAAGAGTCTGAAGCCATGGGTTTTGTAAAATATTAAAAGCAAAAGGTTTTAAAAATCATTTTTGGGTTGATCAATATTGATTATGTCTTACTAATATGGAATCGAATTAAGACATAGTTAGCATCTAAAAGTGATTTGCTGCTGTATTTTATTTATATATAACTCTACTTAGAATTTAAGAATTTTGGTGTAAAGTGAATAAATGAACCCCCTTCCTCTACAAACAAACCAAGAAAACTCCAGGGCAGGTTTAGTTAGAATAATTTGTTACAACCTAACTACCTAAAAATCAAAACTAATGAACAAACCACAGGTTTGGATTCCAGCTTGCTGGAATAAGCACAAGCCAGAGATTTCAATTTTGATAATACTAAATCAGACGGTTTTACACCATTCGAATATTGTGGACAAGGAGAAGGATCATATAACATTTTTGATGAACATCAAAGTCCTTTCTCGTTTAGCCCAAAGTAATAATATGAAGGCAATCATAGTCTTGCTTATGGTCCTGGAAATCTTCTACAAAACATGGTACTGTCTACTTTGAAGAAATATTTCTTTCAGATCTCCGTCATCATAGCACTTATGATAGCAAAGCCACAAAGTTTACATATGAAATCTCAAAGATGAAAAGAGTGGAAAGTAAATTGCAAGATCATACTACAGAAAGAGAAGATCACAAAGCCCAACGCAGAAGGAATGCTGTAAACAGTATTTAAAGAGTTACACACACTATTTATGAAACCAGTGGAACTATTGAAGTTAACAGATTTTCCTTAAATGGTTGCAGTGACAAAGAACAAGGCTGATGACAATTGACCAAATTACACAGAAATACATATAAAAAAAAAACTTTTCAAATTCCCAACTGTGGATGTTGAATTTAAAAAAGTACAATCTTAACAAATTCATTCTTTTGTAAAATAGGACACTTTTGTTCATTGTTTATTAAGTACTTCAAGGGAATTATGAAATGCATTCAGATTCAGAGAATTCTTAAGTATATTTTCAAGCAAAAGTTAATGAATTTAACAGTACTTGATTTCAAGTAAAAACAGGTTCAAGGGATAAAAAAGATAAGACAAATTCAGAGAATTTGGGGAATAAAAAATAATTAGATGGTCATATCTGATGCTTATTTCAGCTGAACTCATAATTGGCATCCAGTTTCAAGAGGGTTGCCTGTCCTGGCCTATTGATTCTTATGAATTAATTTCAAAAGAAATATCATATGTAGATTAAAACATAGTGCTTTATGTAGACTTTATCTACATTAGTCAAATTTCATTTAGTGGGAGATTTAACAAACAAAGATATCAACAGACAGCACTACTTCATTCAGTAAGGGACAAATGACTGAATTTGCTGGACTCATGATAAACAATGTTATTATGGAAATATATTACAATAAATATCAGGCTCACAAACTCCCCCTTTCTCTTCTCCATTGAACACAAGTTCTTTCTTCTATACATGGCAAACTATATTCAATTTTAAGGATGGTTTCAGACTTGCCAATTTCATACTATGGTTTCTATAGCTGGCTTGTTTCATAATTAAGGTTCAATACAGTTCAAAGTTCTGTTGTAGTTCAGAACTATGATTAATAAAAATTAGTAATACTTCACATTAGAGAAAGAAAAGAAAAAAGAAAAATAGAGGCGAGAAAGAGGAGTTCAAGTTTTGTTACAGATTGCTCTCATCACTTCCTGGGCATTTTTTGGGAACGTGACTAACAGAATTCACACAAATTGTCATTTTGGATGGGACATCTGAAGTTCACACACATCTTACGTATGCTTTTATAATCATGGTATAAAAGGTACTTCTTATATCACTATGCCTCTGTTTCAGAAAACCATTCATTGACAGAATCATGTTAAATCTCAATTCAGAGGCAACTTTGACTTGTGCTTAATCTGACTTTGATCCCACTGCATTACTTTTCAGATATACTGTTGTGAACCACGAATTCCAACTTATTACGCTCCCTTTTCCCACTGCTTCCTGGAATCCACTTCCTGTTTATACTTTGCTTTAAGGAGAAACAGAGGACGCCAAGAGCATGAAAACTACTGTTAATGACTCTGCTTTCAGTTACTGAGTTTCCTGGCAGTGCAAAGCAGCTTCTGCAGCACAGGACAAGTAATAGCCCAGGATCATATTTCAATTCTGGCTGCCAGTTCAGGACAAGAAAACTTTCTCCTAATGCATAACTGGCGACAGAGCGAACCACTGCCTTGAGGATTCCAAAAGTAATATATTCATAAAAATCCATGTCAAGGTTTTTTTTGCAATACATTTATACTGCAATGGCTAACTTGTACATTTCAAGAGAGTTTGGAAACTGGTTATCTGCTAGCTTTTGAGCAAAGTAATATTATGCAAATTTATGCAAATTTATTTCTCTCTCCTCTAGATAGCCTAGACCTTTCTCTATATGCCTTCACAAGAACAAGCTGGTACTAAAAATATTACACACGCTGTTCAACTCTTAACATATAAAGACTTAAATTATTAATGGATAACGTAACTCCTATTAATTTCAATAGTCCTACTCTAAGTTTGACCTATCCTATTTCCCTGAAAATAAGACCTCCCCAGATAATAAGCCCAATTGGGCTTTTGAGTGCATGCGCTAAAATAAGTCCTCCCTGGAAATAAACCCTTCTCGAAAATATTGCAACACAGCAGCAGCCATGATGTGACCATGCTCACCACCTCCTGCACCTCAAAAATAATAAAATAAAACCTCCCTGAAAATAAGGCCAGGCACTTATTTTTTTAGGGGGGGGGAAGAAAATAAGACCCTGTCTTATTTTCGGGAAAACATGATAGTAGCTGCATGCTATATATTCTTAGTTATTTATAGGCCATCTTATGCATTCTTCTTTTGCAAAAAGTTTTATTTAAGTATTCCTACTACATTCACATATGATTTGATCTAGAGGCACTGGTTGCTTAATATTTTATAAAAATCTTTAAAAAGTACGTGCATTAAGACAATAACACTGACTAAATCATTAGCTTTGCATATCTGATATTCAGGTGAAATCAATACAGATGCTCATGCCTGCTCAACATTTATTAAATAATTAGAAAACGTATGGTTTGTAATGGCCATCCAAGGAAGAGAGAAGCTATGGTAAAGAATTTAAGAGTTCTAAAAAACCCATACCCCTGATTTTTAGTGATAAAACATTGCTTCTAGGACAAGACTTCACAGTCATGTCCTCAAGATATCCTGTGGCATATTTCAAAGTAAAAATGTGCATACAATATTCCATCTGCATAGTACTATACTACCTGGAATTATATTCTGTCTACAAATGAACTATTGATACTAAAGGGAGTATTTATTTATTTGTTTTATTAAATAGCACTAGTAACTGACTGAAAATAAACATAAAGTAGGCTAAAAATCCCAAGGTCATCTGGAATATTGGAAAGGCAGCATTTCAGTCAATTCATCCACATGTACCTGTTTATGTGTTAGCTGATATTATGGTTTAAAAGTTGTATGCACAAGATCAAAAAAGCATATACCTGAACAAAAATATTTTTAAAAGAGATTTGCTTGGGAGGCATCTAAAAACTTTTTAATGTATTTGATTAGAATATCAATTTGTTGTTTTATTTTTTCCAGTTTACACCACAAAGCTCAACAGTTGGCAAAACTGGAAGTACAAACTGAAAGCAATCTGTCAAGCCACATAGATCAAATTTAAAAATGTGTGTTTGGTGTTCTGCAAAATATGGCAGAAAACTGCAGTTTCTGAAATGGACATTTAAAATTCTTATGCTGCTTGGGATTTATTCCACCACAGATAATTAAAATCTTGTTCAACAAATCTCTAGATTTACACAGGCATAAGTATCTTTCACGATAGTTACTGGATAGTTCTGATCTTGCCAGACAGTGTTGGCCAATAGCATAGTAAAGAATAAACTTTTATGTCCCGGCACAATACTGCTCTACAACAACCCCAAGGGTGCTTTTTCAAAGGGCAAATGGACTTTCTTTGTTGTCCTTGAAGACATTTCGCTCCTTAGCCAAGAAGCTTCTTCAGTTCTGACTTTCAGCTCAGCCACTTCAGTGACCCTAGGGTCTTTCAATCAGAACTGAAAAAGCTTCTTGGATGAGAAGTGAAACATCTTCAAGGACAATAAAGGAAATCCAGTTGCCTTTGGAAAAAGCACCTTTGGGACAACCATGACCTGGATGACTGAGAATCTCCATAGACCACTGGTGAGTTTAGGGGGTACGCCCCGGTGCGGGCGTACCGGAGCCTACTCAGAGCACCAGATACCGTTCCAGTACAGTGCTCCGGAGGGCTCACCCGCCCGCCCGAGCTCTTTACCGGTCTTTTAAGTCTTCGACGCTTCTGCACATGCACGCAGCACATACAGCACCTACGTGACACTCCGCTGAGCAGCTGGAGCCTCACGGAGGCGGTAAGACGCATGCGTGCGCTGCTTGTGTCCATGTGGACTACGCTGGGCCCAATCCAACCGTACCGGTTGGAACGGGATCCGGAACCCATCACTGCCATAGACACTCTGCAACCGTACTGTTACTTACCTGGGCTTGAGCACTGATGTTCCTCTGCTCCGGCTGATGTAGATGAGAAGCAGGAGGATACCAAGGATGGTTGCAGTTTTGAGACTGAGTCGGAAGAAGGTTGGCTTGTGGGACAAGGCGCTGTTCCAGCTGATGTTCTAAATCATTACTTGGGGCATCCTGAACAAAGGCAGTTTCATCAAACTGGGGAAGGAGATCTTCCTGGAGAAGCGCTTCTGGGTCAAGTTCTGTAAACGATGCACTTTGAGACTCCACCTGACGGAGCAAATTCTCATCCAAAGACGGAAAACCATTGCCCTCTATGGGATCGCTGAAGTGGCTTAGCTGAGGACCCGAACCAGGAGGGGTAGAGAAATTCATGTTCACCGCGGATAGCTTCGAACTACTGAAGGTGCCCTGAGGTTGTGCTGAATGCAACACGTGGAAATTATTTGAAGTCAGCGATGTACTTGAATTGAGGAGGCTCTCTGGATCTTCTTGTTTGGTCCCTCTTCGAGTTGCGAAAGCTTCGCTTCCCGAAAAGTCAGGCAGAGGGTGCGCTTGCTGGCCAACAGAAAGAGTTGTGGAAGATTGAAGAAGACTGGAAGGAGAGATCTGGTTGCTATTGTAGGGAAAAGGAGGAGAAAACTGGGTGTTAATAGAGCACGACGTGATCGCAGGAGAGGGCCCGTCGTAGCTTCCTTCTTGATTGCCACTGAAGTGGGGCGAGTTATTCCTACTCTGGGAAAAAGGTGGCATAGAGATAGACTGTTGTGATTTGGATATGTCAACAGCTTGGGAGGGGCGGGGAACGTTAGTTCTATGTGAAACGGACGCATTCACCTCCATGAAACCATCAGGCTGATTCCGCGTGTTCTCTCCTGCGTTCACGCTTGGCGGCAACTGCAACGAGGCACACGGATGATGCTGTTCGCTGGCCTGAAATAAGGCAAAACTGTGGTGTGCTACAAAGCTTTTGTTCTGCTGCATAGACGGCGGGGGCCCTTGATGGAACGGAGATCCGTTCTGGTTAGAAACGCTGCTCGAGGTCTGGTGGCCCCACATCGGGCTCCCATCTGCTACATCGTCAGGGAACAACCCATTCGTTTGAGTTTGCGGATGGACAGGAGAGCAACTGAAGTCGGAATGCGGGGATAAAACGCTTCCGACCGGGCTGCTGAAGGACTGACTGACTTGGAGTTTCAGAGAGTCGTACTGGTTGAGATGCTCGTAATCGTTCATCTTTTGCGGAGTGGGTGCCTCCTGCACGTGGTTTAGAGAATCAATCTGCAACGGCTCAAACTCTGCGCCCAAGTTCAACTCATCGACCAGGGAAACAGGCCCCGCTTGGACAAAGGCATCATCCGATAATCCTTCCAAGGTATCGCTAAAAAGATTGGCATCATCAAAAAAATCCATCATAGGGTCGGTCATCTTGATACAGTTGTGCTACTTTGCCACTACCACAAATGGAGTTAGCGAGTCTCAGAGTAGCACAAACACCAGTAATATATTTTTCTCAGTGGGAAGCACTTCATCTAAGCCATGTTGACATCCACCAGCATTTTTGTAGAAATAAGATCTTGCAGTGTTTTAAATATCCTAGGTAAGAAGGGGGAGGGGGGAAAGCAGTTAAACACTTTGGAATATCTTTCAATTACTACGTATTAGATTTTTAATCATTATATCTATTAGTTGGCATTTAAATACAAATAGGACCTTATACAATAAACATATTTTAAACCCATTACTTAACTTTGTTTCAGTCAGGTTTTTTGATACATTTCCTAAACAATGTATACTAATAGCTTTTTGTACTAAATGTTGTTGTGAGCTGCCCAAAATTGTTGAGAGTTGGACAGCGTGCAAGTTTTGTACAAGTGACCATAATCCAAAATGTCTGGTTCCACAAAACATTTTTTTTTAGATTTGGCAAAGCAATTGTGAACTTTAAGGCTTAATTCTTTTTATTGGTATCAAACCAGGCAAGCTCAGTTAAATTCCCCCAAATTCTCAAAAAAACTAGCCGCAGATGGGATAAAATATATTCCTTAGGGACATGGAAAATAAATGCAAGTGTGGTTGAAGGAATGTATTCAACTGAATAACGTATTGCTTTGCCTTTACTTATCATGCTTGATTTCAATATTTTGCCCCAGTTCCTTCTTTTCCTTCTAGCTCAGGAGAAAATATATGTTCAGTTTAAGGAGAGTAGATTCGCACATTATACTAAGCCATAATACGGTTATTTGCTTTGGGCTTTGTATGTTATATGAATTCATTCAGAGTATAAACACATTAGCACTGTAACTGAAATTCCATCGTAAACACTTTCTGATATCTTCTTCCTGGGGTGTTTCTAAATTTACTTTTATATATGAATATATGCATTTGTCGTCTTCTTTACTTCCTCTTTTTCCACTTCGGGTGTCGAGGGAGATGCAATGTTTTGGTTCTTGCTCTTCTGGCGGCCTCAACCACTGTTATTTCATGTTGTTGCAGTGTGTCTTTGATGTTGTGGCTCTGTCTTCTTCGGGGTCTGCTTTGTGTTCTTGGACCATCTCCTCTTTTTATATATATATGTCTCCTACGGTATGGAATCCGACAACATCCTCCCCAGGAGAACAAATCACTTTATTTGCTGTTTTTGTATGTAGTTTAAGATTGGTTCTATTGCCAAGCCTTTCTCTAATGGTCTCATTTTTTGTTTCATCCCTTCCGATCATGCCAGCAGCTTTCCTCAAATAGGTATTTATAAATGTGAAAATTTCATAAAATATAACATTGCCTAGCTTCAAATATAGGTTGAAACTTTAATAAATGAAGAATTTAATTATTAATGTAATAGATAATAAGAAAAAAAACCATCCTTACCCATTAATACATAGCACATTTTGTTACAAAAGTTTTACTTAGTCCTGGGAAATATTTGGTCCCTGATGTAATTGGGTAGCATTACAGATCTGAAAGATAAATAATAGTTTTAAACAATTCAGTTCTAATATAATATCTTCTTAAGAGTCCTGCAAATTTGCTGGTAAGAAAGATGTTAGGCTGAAAACACAAAATCTGGACGTGAGAGCAAGTCATAGAGGCACTGCACAGTTCTGCAAATATAAACAATTCTGAAACATTAGTTCTAGTATCATGTTTTAAAATATAGCACTGGTGGAAAAGCTATTACTTTAATCTCATTAAGTGTGCATGTCCCAGTACTACCAATTTTAAGTAGTTCTTAATTAAAGCACATTTTAATTAAACAAAGCAAACATTGCTTCCAGCAAAACTATCTAGCACCATGGCCCAATAAACGATTTAAGACACAATTTAACTTTTAACACAGAAACATCAAGATCAAGAATGTTTTGGAGATTTAAAGCTCCCATTAGAGTTGTTTGATTAAACTCTCATTCCAGCTTTAAGGCCAGGCTATGGAGTTACTATAGTTTGTAAATTCTGGTCAAAAAGCATCCATTGATTAATGCTAAACTCTGTACAATCTAATACTACACCACAAGCCAGTGTTGAAACTAGGCGAAATGGGAAGGAATCTCTAAGCAATAGCACAGGCAGTGCTGGTATCTACTCAAGGTGTATCCACCAGATCAGTGTTTCTCAACCTCAGCCACTTTAAGATGCAAGGGGTTCAACTCCCAGAATGCCTCAGCCAGCTTGGATGGCTGGGGCATTCTGGGAGTTGAAGTGACGCATCTTAAAGGGACTGAGGTTGAGAAACACTGCACTAGATCATTCTTTTCCAGCAAAACCTTTCATGGCTTAATTGGGCACCCAACAGATTAAATCAGGAAGTGTTTGGGCTCATAAAGGTACCACCAAAAATCCTGCACATTTTTATTCCCTTGCTTCACACCTCTGCTGTTTCGAATCATTTTCCTAGCCCCCCAAGGGCAGATTCTCGAGGTCTACAAGAATATGGAGAAGGAACTTTGGAAAAACCCACACTGTTCCCATTTTATGAGAGCCAATAGCACATGTCATGCTTTGATCTTAATCAACCTTATGAATATTTTGACAGGTAATGAAATAACCTATTAATTAGATAATTAATCGATTATCTGGATCTTAATAAATATACTCAGGAGATAAATCTGATTTGGTGCAGCAGGGATTTGTTTGTTTCTGATCCCCTCAGAGACAATTTTCAGAATTGTCCCAGAATAAGGCCTCTGTCAAAACTAGATTTTGCAGCTGGAGGGGGTCATAAGTAGAATTTGTGTACTACGCCTTGAGATAACTCAAGTGTGTAGTGTTTTCTTTGTCAAAGGTGGACATTGATAAACATCTTACTGATCCCTAAAAGCTCTGTCCCTCTGAGGAGGCAATATTTGGCTAACTGCTTGATGACAAAGAGCAAACCTATTTAATTTTGTGACAAACAAAATCTGTACATATAACAGTTATTGACATAGCCAAAGTATTTCAATGTTCTAAGTCCTCTCAGTAGGATTTAGGTCAATTATCCATAGAGAACAGACATTTCATAGATACTGTAGGTTCTGGAAAAGAACAACAACAACAACAACAACAAGAACAAAACTCTTACCATTTGGTGCACAAACTGATTCCCTTTTGCAGGTTGCACTGATGAGCCGGTGCTGATTGGAAAAACCTTTCTTTTAGCAATATTACCGGGACAGCAGAACTGAGAAGATGAAGAAAACAACAAAGCATTAGTAAGGCAGAATTGCCACAGAGCCAGCTTTACATGAGTTAAACGACACCGATAAACCAAGGAGTCCTTATGGAATCTGCAGTATGTGAATACTGTAAGTAAATGTTCTAGTGCTGTGTTTGCATTGACTTGCAGTGGTGTTATACTCTTGATTTGGTCAAATGACTAAATCAATAAAGTTTCTACAACCAGTAGTTGTGCTGTAGTAAATAAATAGTCACACCTTTAAGACATTGCAAGGCGTGCAAAAAGCATATCCTAGATATATCATTTACTACTCAAGTCAAAAGAAGTTAAGATCATAACATTTTTCACTACGGTAGACACTATAGACTCTTATGGAACACATTACAATGGGAGATTTGAGACAGAAAAAAACAACTAAGTCTTCATTCAGCATATTTACAAGATAAAAAATATTCATTCAAGATATGGAAATGACAATCTATTAGACAGGACTGAAGAGAAATTAAGACTCATAGAGGATAAGAATCCAAATGGTTACCAGAATACTCCTCAAATTATCCTGTTTGTCTATTTTGCAACCTTCATGTGGGCAAAACAGGTCATTTATAGGTCAACCATTTTTCAATCAACCTGCCTCTAACGGGCTAGCGGGAAGAATGTGCCCAGAATCCAGGCTCCATTATTCCCACAGGATTAAAGTTTGGCAAAGTTGGGACCAATATATTTAGTGCCACCATGAGGCATCCATGGTCAGGAGATTATCATTTCAAACTCTCCCTGCTAGTTTCCCATTAGAAAATTAATGGTGAAGCTGGCAGAAAATCGGTGGTCACTCCCACTGCTTTTTTCCCTGTCCAGTATTCTGTTCTGTTTCTGTTTAAGCAAGGAAATATTTCTGAAACGATCACCCAATGGGTTATCTAATACAAGGGTCTCCAACCATGGCAACTTTACGACTTGTGGATGTCAACTCCCAGAATTCCTCAGCCAGCCATGCTGTTTGAGTAATTCTGGGAGTTGAAGTTGAAGTTGAGTTGAAGATTCCTGGTCTAGTATATTACATTTATACTGAAAGTAAGAGAAGAATCAGCAATGCTTAGGAGAATGTGGTTAGATTACAGTGAAAGCGCCCGTGATGAAGAAATATTGATGAGAAGGAGAAAAGTGAGGCACACGGGGAATAGATGGCAAGGATTATTTCTGAAAATTAATTACTAGTATAAGAGTAGATTACAGATCAAGCATGCTCCTAGACAATCATTGTGTGGGCAGTTTGGTCTCTCCAAATCATATGTATTGTTTGTTTTTATTCTATACTTCCCCAATTTGTGTTCATTAGAAAGGATCTGAAAACTTCCCTTACTAGCATTTCTGACCTAAACATTTCTCATTATAGTAATGAAAGATTGCAACAAGGTACATATTACTTATTATAAAACACCACAAACTAAATAGGGCAGTCACACTTCTTATAGTACAAGTATTATCTTTTATAATCTACCCAGATGCTGGAAGTGGAGAAAATAAGTTAATCCAATAGGCAAACTTAGTAGGGACATGCAACTTATCTGAACTTCAAAACAGGTTGTCCTGAGCTAATTGGGAGTGTTTCAATCATCCCAGAAGAATTATAAAACAACAATTTTGAAATGGAAACACAACCATTTCAAGTTTGAAACATGTCCAGTAGGACAGGACAGAGTAGGAACACTTGGCAAGAATGGAACAGCTGTTTCAAACTTTTTGAACTTGGAACAGATTACTTCAAACTCAAAATGGATAAATTTTGAGCTGCAATATTTGTATTATTTAACAACATGGTAAATATGCTAACTACTTCACAACACACTGATCAATCAAAATAAGAATTCACTAAGGCTATGATGGCAAGCTCTAATGAATTTTAAGAGGGCTTGTTTGACCTTTTTTACCTACTGCAAACTAATTTGCATCTATTAATGAAATAGCCACAGTCCTGTATTAATAGGAACTAAACCAAATGTATGCAACTTTTGACTTTAAAATAGTGGTTCCGCCTACACTGGATTACTTACTATGTGTTGATAAAATGAGAAACCCTGAAGAGATGTTAAAACTATGTATTTTACTTACAAAGTTAGCAAGTCTTGATAGACTGAATAATCTGTTGAAATGTAACAGACATTTTATCTGACTGCTAATTTGAGTGATGGATTCTAACCAGTCAAGAAGCAACCAGAGACAGAAATAAAACAATTCTTGGAGAAGTTTTCTTTACAGAAACTTATATAAATAAAGTATGAAAAAAAATCACTCCTGCTTATTTCCCCAAGATCTTTTAACTTTTACAACTTACAGAATACTAACTGTGATTTAGAAAAGGACCAATCTTTTCACTGTATATGACAATTTGCAAGGAAGAAGTAATTCAATATGAAACTGATATGTATACACATAAACCAGCAGCCCCCAGTTATTTAGTGATGCACAAGACTAGATAATTTTTCTCTTGCTGTAGCCTGCATTGTAATAACGCTGCAGCCTTCCAGAACAACCTTTGGTTTATAGCCATAAACCAAATGGTGTGGCCACAGCCATCACTAGATAGCTTTGAAAGGTACAGGAGTTAGAAGAGATTATTGTTCATACTTGAAATAATCATATTTAAAGGAATCATCTCCCATTTAACGTAAGCGGATATGTAGCCAAAGTATCCAACTCTTCCATATAAACTAAGATTATAAAGCATAAAAGGTTGCATCAGACAAAATATTAAGGCCACAACATGAGCAGACATCTTAGAAAGCGTATATAATTATCATAGTTCTGTACAAACAATACTTCAAAACAACTCTAGATTAATTTGCTCAAGACCTGAACAGCGCACACGTGACCATATGCAAACAGTTGTAAAATGGGGGTATACATGAAGTACAGTATATCACTTTCAGTAAATATACATTGAAAATATGAATCATATGAAACATCACTATTTCCATATAATGTTCTTGAGCAACTTTCTGATTCTATTTTTTTTTTTTTTACTATTTTAGCAGCCACCGTTATCATTACCACTATGTTAAAAAAATTTACACATTGAGGGATGACAGCATGAAATCCTACATTATTCCAACAGGTTCACTTTGATACATCTTCTGCAAGCTGAAGCGTATCCTCTCATTTTTGTGTGTGTACCACCCAACCTTTACGAAACTATATCCAACTGTTCATTTCTTCGATGCTTCTCTAGCAAACTGGACCAAAATAAACCTCTTCAGTCTCTTATTTTTGCTTAACTATATTAAATATATTATGAAAAAAACAAACCTCAATTTCCCCCTTAATTTCTGAAAAGCAACATACAGCACCAACTTGCCTAATATATGCTACGACTATTCCCCCCCCCTCAACATTTGCCTTTGTCTTCTGTTTAGATAATTCACTGAATCAATTTGTTGCACCCACATCTGGATTCCATTAAACTGCTGGTTTTTTCTATCTATACTAACGACAATAGAGAAATGGAGAACAAGTCACAATAAAGAAAAAAGCTATTCTACTGTAGTGATAAAGGTGCTGCACTTAAGAGTGGGGAAACCCAGGATCAAATCCTCCTTGAACCATGGAGTCATTGGTGATTTGGGGCCGGTCATAATCTCTCATCCAACATCCCTCATAGGGTTGCTTCTGCGGGGATAAAATTAAGGAAGATCTACATATAAGACATCTTGACCCATCTGAGGAAAAACAAGATGTCAGTGCAACAGAGGAAGAAGAAAAATGCAGTAGTGCAATTTGGTTTGAAAATAAGTAATAAACTTGAGCAAACTATTATAACGTTTACAGAACAATCCCCCCCCCCAAGATCATATTCTTTTTCAAAAAGTCTGCAGACCACACACATCTGCTGCCTTCCATTCTGCTGAGGAATTACCTCTGATTTGATCTGAGTTTAGTTCAAACATGGTTTGTGATCATTTCGACTCTATTTGGCATGCAACCCAGCATTAAGACTTTTCACAAACTTCCTAGCGAGCTGGCACAGAATCTTTTTTTCCTTTCAGCCATCAGGGTAACCCCACCCATTGCAGTGCAACTATCTCTGCTATTTCATGTAGAGAGAGACCTTCTCCGCTTCCATCTTAAAACCCGAGCACATATTGGGGGGTGGCGGTGGGGGAATCAGCCTTTTCTCCTATTCCTATTGGCCTGGGGTGGAAAAGAGCTGATGGACCTACTCTTAGGAAGAAGCTCTTCCTGTCTGCTTGGCACAACTGTGCCTTTGACTGTAACTTCTCTCTTAGGCCAGCACAAGTCTTCATCGTAGAGCAGGATGTGATCTTCTGCATTGGCCAGAGTGCCCCTCCACTCCCAAACATCATTTTAAGACTCTACCGTATTTGGCTGCATGGCTACAAGTCATGATATGAGGAATACAGAAGTGATGCTCGTGGCAAACTGTAAGTGAAGTGATGCTCAGGGCAAATTGAAGCACCTGCTGGATCCTCTTCTGTGCGCATGACCCTGGATCTATGGTGAAGCAGCCACGATCACCGAGGAGCAGCAACAAGTACGGCATGAAGCTGCTGTGCAGCAGACCTGCCTCGTACAGATTCTTCCCACCGGAACCCCAACATGCTTCTTTCCTTTGAAACCACTTGCTTTTTGCCTTCTGCCCTACGCCCAGGAGCTCCAAACGCACCTTATTCTTTTGCAGCCCTAGGTTAGTTAGAGCTAGGGGTCCCGCACAGTTAGAACTAGGGGTCCCGCCCACTTTTTAGAAGAGCACCCTCCCAACTCTCCAGCTACGGGGCTGCAGAGAAAAAACACACACACACACCCTCTGGCAGCAAGAAGAACAAACCAAGGTTGAGACAAGGAAGCCAACTTCCATCATCCCTGCCCACCCACCAGCCCCAATGCCTAACATGGATCTCCTTTGACCCTGTTTGGTGGCATCCCCCCCCAAGCCCCCACTCCCTTTCCCCCCTTGATGGCAGCAACCTAGCAAAGGTCAGGAACCCCCTTCCTTTTAGGAAAACCCCAGATCTGAGAAGTTGGGAAAGCTGGATGATTGGGGGGGGGGAATAGAAGAGGAGACCCAAACTCTGAAAAAAAGAAAAGAAAGCAAGCCAGCAGCAACCCTATCCTTCTACCCACCCCCCCACCCAACCTCCGTTCCCTCCCTCCCCCTCCTCCTTTCTGCCAGCCGGCATTGCTTGGACAAGAAGCCAGAGCCTCTTCCAAGACCTGAGGGGGGGGGAAGGAGGGAGAAACAGGGGGGGCAGAGAGAAGGGGAGGGACAGAGAGAGAAAGAGAGATAGAGGGAGAAAGCTGGAGGGAGAGAGAGAAAAAGAGAAAGAGATGGAGAAAGAGGTGAGAGGGAGGGAGAGAGAATGGATGGACAGAAAGATAGATAAGAGAGAGAGAGAAAGGGGGGGGAGAGAGAGGAGCCGCTCCCCCCCCACCTCGCCCGGGAAGTGCGCGTGCGCGCGGGTGTCAGTCGCGCGGGCGGACGGGCGGCCGCCCTGCCGCTCTCCCACGTGGGCGCGGTGTGGGGGAGGGGAGGGCAGCGGCGGAGGGCGACCACCTCCCTCAGGCAGGAGAGGAGGAGGAGGAGGAGGAGGAAGGCTGCCCTGAGGTACGAAAGGCCCACCCACCTGCCTCCCCCCCCCGCTTTTTTTCCCCCGAAAGGGGAAGCCCGGCAGGCAGGGCATCCCGGTTGAGGAGGGGCGGCGGAGCGGAGGCGTGACAGGCCAGGCCCTGGAGGGCAGGCGGGACGCGACCCCGGCGGCTGCTGCTGCTCCTCCTGAGGGGGAAAAGAGGAGGGTGGCGTTGGGCGGAAAGACACCCCCCCCCGCCTCAGGGCGCCTTGACAGGTCGTGAGGGAGAAGCGCGCGCGGCGGCGGCGGCGGCCACTCCCCTTTCGCCTCAGGGAAAGCCCGGCCGCCCGTTTTTGGATCTCCCTTCCTTGGCTCTCCCGCCCACCCGGCGATCCCCTGGCTTACCGGCGGGCGAGGGCAGCGGCGCGGCTGGCGAAGGCCCTGCCCGAGGCGGGAGGTGGCGCGGCGGCGGCGGCTGAGGGGAAGGGGGCGGAGCCTCCGGGGTGGGCGCGGCGTGGCCCCGCCCCGGCCCCGCCCACCCGTCCTGCCGCGGCCTGCTCTGGCGGCTGCCAGCGGGGCCTTCTAACCCCTCCCCTCCTTTCCCCGACGCCCCCCCCTCGGACTGCGCCTGCGCGGCCCGCTCCCCGGCGCACGAGCCGCGCGGGGGAGGGGCAGGAGAGGAGGAGGAGGCTTCAACGGCCGCGCCAGCCAATCCGCGCAGGGCACACGATGCTTTTCTCCGGCAGGCGAAGGAGGGCGGGCCCGTCTCGAGGCTTTTTCTGCCCGGCTCTGTGAAGGAGGGAAGGGTGGTGCATTTGCATATTTGTTAGCCGCTCGAGGATTGGTCGGGAAGGGGAAGTCCGCGCCGACTAAGAGCCTGCCTGCCTGCCTGCCTGGATGATTGGATGAATGGATGATTGAATGGATGGGTGGGTGGCTGCCTGCCTGCCTGCTGTATGTTTCGATGGATGTTGGGATTGGTGCGTGGTTGTGTGTCTGCCTGCCTGTATTCCTGGATAATTGGGTGGGTGGGTGGTTGGATGCCTGCCTGCCTGCCTGCCTGCCTGCCTGCTTCCCTGCCTGCCTGGATGATTGGATGGATGGATGCTACTTGCCTGCCTGCCTGCCTGCCTGATTAGATAATTGGATGGATGATTGGATGGGTTTCTGCCTGCCTGCCAGCCAACCAACCACCCGGCCTGCCTGGATTTTTGGGTGGGTGGGTGGTTTCCTGCCAGCCTGCCTGGATTTTAGGATGGATGGGTGGCTGGCTGCCTTCCTACCTGCCTGCCCGGATGATTGGATAATTTGATGGATGATTGGATGGGTGGCTTCCTGCCTGCCTGCCTGCCTGCCTGGATTATTGGATGGATGATAGTATGGGTGGGTGGCTTGCTGGATGACTGCCTGCCTCCCTGCCTTCTCACCTGTGTTCTTGTCTGTTTGGATGATTAGATAATTGGTTCGGTGGGTGGTTGCCTGCCTGCCTGCCTGGATGTTTGGATGGGTGGGTTGGTGGGTGGTTGGCTGCCTGCCTGACTTCCTGGATAATTGGATGGATAATTGAATGGATTGATGGCTGGCTGGTTGGATCCCTGCCCACCTGATGCCTACCTGCCTGCCTGGATGATTGGATGGATGAGTGCCTGGCTGCCTGGCTGTCTCTCTGCCTGCCTGCCAGCCAGCCTTCCTGCCTGCCTGATGTTTGGATGGATGGATGGATGTTTGGATGGGTGGGTTGGTGAGTGGTTGGGTGGCTGCATGATTGTCTGCCTGCCTTCTTGGAAAATTGGATGTATGATAGGATAGAAGGATGGGTGACTGGCTGGCTGGCTGGCTGCTTTCTTCCTTGCCTGCCTGCCTGGATGATTGGATAATTGGATTAATGATTAGGTGGATGGATGGATGGATGGTTGGTCCCTGCCCATCTACTGCCTGCCTGGATGATTGGATAATTGGATGGTTGGGTGGATGCTGACTGGCTGGCTGCCTCTCTCCGTGCTAGCCTACCTACCTACCTGCCTGATGTTTTGCTGATTGGATGGGTGGGTGCTTTTCTGTTCTACCTGCCTTCTTGGATGATTGGATGTTTGATAGGATAGAAGGATGGGTGACTGGCTGCCTGCCTGCCTTCCTCCTTGCCTGCCTGCCTAGATGATGGGGCGATTAGATAATTGGATAATTACATGGATGGATGGATTGATTGGTTGATGGGAGCCTGGCTGGTTTCCTGTATGTCTGCCAGCCTGCCTGCCTGCCTACCTGCCTGATGTTTGAATGATTGGATGGCATTTGGATGGGTGTGTGTGGGGGGGGGGTGCCTTTCTGTCTGCCTCCCTGCCTGGATGGATGGATGGATGGTAGGCTGCCTGGTTGCCTGCATGCCTGGATGATTGGATGATTGGATGGATGAGGGGCTGGGTGCCTGGCTGCCTCTCTCCCTGCTAGCCAGCCAACCAGGCTGCCTGCCTGATGTTTGGATGAATGGGTGGATGTTTGTATGGGTGGGTTAGTGGGTGGTTAGGTGGGTGGCTGCCTGCCTGCCTGCCTGCCTGCCTGCCTGCCTGCCTGCCTGCCTGCCTGCCTTCTTGGAGGATTGGATGGATGATAGGATGGCTGGCTGGCTGCCTTCCTCCTTGCCTGCCTGCCTAGATGATGGGGTGATTGGATGATTGGATAATATGGATTGATTGATGGGAGGCTGCCTGGTTTCCTGTATGCCTGCCAGACTTCCTGTCTGCCTGATGTTTGAATGATTGGATAGAATTTTGGATGGGCGGGTGGGTGAGGAGAGGCCTTTCTGTCTGCCTCCCTGCCTGGATGATTGAATGGATGGTACGATGGATGGGTGGGTGGCAGGCTGCCTGGATGCCTGCATTCCTGCCTACCTGGATGATTGGATAATTGGTTAATTAGATGGATGAGTGGCTGGCTGCCTTGCTGCCTCTCTCCCTGCTAGCCAGCCAGCCTGCTTGCCTGCCTGTCTGATTTTTGGATGAATGGATGTTTGGATAGGTGGGTTGGTGGCTGCCTGTCTGTCTGCCTACTTTCTTGGATGATTGGATGGATGATAGGATAGAAGGCTTGCTGCCTGCCTCCTTGCCTGCCTGCCTAGATGATTGGTGATTGGATAATTGGATGAATGGATTGATTGATGGGAGGCTGGCTGGTTTCCTGCATGCCTCCTAGCCTTCCTGCCTTCCTAAAGTTTGGATGATTGGATGGATTTTTGGATGGGTGGGTGGGTGGATGCCTGTCTGTCTTCCTCCCTGCCTGGATGATTGGATGGATGGGTGGTAGGCTTCCTGGCTAGACAGGATGATAGGATAGAATGATGGCTGATTGGCTGGCTGGCTGCTTTCCTCCTTGCCTGCCTGGATGATTGGTGATTGAATAATTGGGTGGGTGGATGGATTGATGGGTGTCTGGCTGGCTGCCTGCCCACCTGCTGTCTACCTGCCTGCCTGGTTGATTGGATAATTGGATAATTAGATGGATGAGTGGCTGGCTGACTACTTGGCTGCCTCTCTCCTTGCTAGCCAGCCTGCCTGCCTGCCTGCCTGATGTTTGGATGAATGGGTGGATGTTTGGCTGGGTGGATTGGTGCGTGGTTGGGTGGATGGCTGCCTGTCTTTCTGCCTGCCGTCTTGGATGTTTGGATGGATGATAGGATAGAAGGATGGGTGATTGGCTGGCTGGCTTGCTGCCTTCCTCCTTGCTTGCCTTCCTGGATGATTGGTGATTGGATAATTGGATGGATGGATTGATGGGAGGCTTCCTGCCTGCCTGCCTGCCTGGATGATTGGATAATTGGATGGATGATAGGATAGATTGATGGTTGACTGGTTGGCTCCCTGCCCACCTGATGTCTACCTGCCTGCCTGGATGATTGAATAATTGGCTGGATGGGTGCCTGGGTGCCTGGCTGCCTCTCTTCCTGCCTGATGTCTGGATGTTTGGATGGATGGGTTGGTGGGTGGCTGGCTGGCTGGCTGCTTGGATGATTGGATGGATGATAGGATAGAAAGATGGGTGATTGGCAGGCTGCCTGGCTGCCTAACTCCTTGCCTGCATGCCTTGATGATTGGATAATTCGATGGATGGATGGATTGATGGGATGCTGGCTGGTTTCCTGCATGCCTGCCAACCTTCCTGCCTGCCTGATGTTTGAATGATTGGATGGGTGGGTGGGTGGATGCTTGTCTCTCTGTCCCCTACCTCGATGACTAGATGGATGGTACGATGGATGGATGGGTGGTAGGCTGCCTGGCCAATCATCCAGGCAGGCTGGTAGGCAGCAGGCGGGCAGGGAGTCAGCCAACCACCCATCAGTCCATCCATCCAATTATCCAATCACCAATAATCCAGGCAGGCAGGAAAGGAAGAAGGCAGCCAGTCTGCCATCCTTCTATCCTATCATCCATCCAATCATCGAAGCAGGCAGGCAGGCAGCCACCCATCCAACCAGCTACCAACCACCCATCCAAACATCCATCCATTCATTCAAACATCAGGCAGGCAGGCTAACAGGCAGAGAGGCAGTCAGACAGCCAGACACACATACATACATACATGCATACATGCATACATACATACATACATACATACATACATACATACATACATACAGCCAGAGATTGCAGACGTACAACCCAAGCTTCCATTTACTAAAAAAAAAAAAAGTCCCGCTGAGTTTAATGGAATTTACCACCAGGTAGCTGTGTCTACAGAAGTGTGATCTTTGCAGTCTCGTACTCCTAACCCAATTCACAGCCTGCTCTGCCAATAAATGAGAAAAGATTGTTAGGCCTAGGAGGGTGTGGAATTTATTACTAACCTTGTTTTATTCTGCACTGTTTCACGACGTGGAATCTGCGATCCCCTCTTGCAGAATAAACAGATGCTTTGGGACAATTTTTAAAGGACCTCCTGGCTCCTCTCAGAAGTGACGTGGGTGGATAGATTAACTTGTTGATTGCCCAGCCAGGGTGGACATCCTACACGTTAAGCGTTAAAATTATTTTATCACTTTTCTCTCTTTTTTTTTTATACACTATTTTTTTCTTTTTTCTTTTTGTGTTGGTTAGTGTTGAATTTATTTTACTTTTTAAATCTCTTTTTTTTTGTGCACCATTTTTTTTCTTTTTTGTGGTTGTTAGTGTCGAATGTATGCCTTTGTTTTGTTCTGGTTGTTTTTCTGTTTTGTATTTTACTTTTCATAATAAAACACACACACACACACACACACACACAGAGGGTGAACACATCATCGGTAGTTCTTGACTGAAGACTTCAACTGGGACAGAATTCCCATTGCTGAGCGAGGTGGTTTTAAAATAACTTATGCCTGGTTTCACGACCTCTCTTGCAATGGTTGCTCAGTGAATCACTGCATTGTTAAGTGAATCATGCGGTCGTTAAGCAAATCCAGCTCCCCCCATTGTTGGCTGGGGAGGCGGT